ATGAGTCAGCATATACTGTCTTAGCCGGCGAGCAGCCCATGCCAAAGCGCAGCAAGTTTTCTCGAGCAGCCCATGCCAAAGCGCAACAAGTTTTCTCGAGCAGTGAATATCTTGTTTCATAGTCGGTAAACTTTTTGCTCAGGTAATAAATAGCGTGCTCTTTTCGGCCAGACTCGTCATGCTGCCCCAACACACACATCATTGAATTTTCTAAAACAGTTAGATACATGATCAATGGTCTTCCCTCGAGTGGTGGCATCAACACAGGAGGCTCTTGTAAGTATTCTTTGATTTTGTCAAAAGCAATTTGGCACTCGTCATTCCATTTGACTACTTGATCTTTCTTCAATAATTTGAAGATTGGTTCACAAGTAGTTGTCAGGTGAGAGATGAATCTGGCAATGTAGTTCAAACGCCCCAAGAATCCTCTGACTTCATTCTCAGTACGAGGAGCAGGCATTTCTTGTATTGCTTTAACTTTGGCAGGATCGACCTCGATACCTTTGTTGCTGACGACAAAGTCTAGGAGTTTACCAGACCGTACCCCAAATGTGCATTTGTTTGGATTCAACCTCAACTTGTACTTCTTCAGTCTCTCAAACAGTTTTTGTAAGTGATCAAGATGCTCTTCTCCTGTTTGAGACCTGGCTATCATATCGTCCATGTAGACCTCTATTTCGTGATGTATCATGTCATGAAATAAAGCTACCATGGCATGCTGATAGGTTGCCCCAGCGTTCTTTAGTCTGAATGGCATCACCTTATAGTAGAAAGTGCCCCACTGCGTGACAAACGTTGTTTTCTCCATGTCCTCAGGCGCCATTTTGATTTGGTTGTAGCCTGAGAAACTGTCCATGAAGGAAAACACTTTGTATTGTGCCGTATTGTCAACTAGAATATCAATGTGGGGGAGTGGAAAATCATCCTTAGGGCTTGCCTTATTCAAATCTCTGTAGTCCACACACATTCGCACTTTGTCGTCTTTTTTGGGTACGGGAACAATATTGGTAACCCATTGGGGATAAGAGGTGACAGTCAGGAATCCAGCGTTGAATTGCTTCATGACTTCTGCTTTAATCTTTTCTGATATATCAGGCCTCATGCGGTGAACCTTTTGCTTTACTGGCGGACAATCTTCTCTTGTAGGCAGACAATGTACCACAATGTCTGCATCAAGTCCAGGCATGTCTTCATACGACCAGGCAAAGACTTCGACATAATCGTGTAATAACTGAATCAAACGCTCCTTGACACTGGGTTCCAGATTGGCACCCACCTTGACCTCTTTTTTGTCTTCTTCGGTACCTAGGTTGATTGTATCCACGAGTTCCTCGTGAGGCTGAATGGTTCTCTCTTCTTGTTGTAGTAGTCTGGCAAGTTCCCCTGGTACTTCACAATCTTCCTCGCCTTCATTTTCGTCTTGGTAGATTAGATTCTCAGAGTCACAAAAGGCCATTGCAGTATCGTTACCCATGGGATCCCGAATGGATGTATACATGCATTGTGAGTGTGTGTGTGTGTGTGTAAGGGTATAGCTATCTTTGAAAGAAAATAAAATGTAAAAGAAAAACAATGAGCACAAAAGTTTGTATGTGAAAACGTCCATGATTCATTGATGTCATATGAAAATGAGATAATAACCCTTACAAATAGACCATTGTGCCTCAGGTAAGACACAAGGTTTGAAGAGTGCGAATTATTTTTGATATTACAGATCCAACAAAATGTAAAGACAATTACTGTGGGATAAAAGTGATCGGGATAAAATCTCTAGCCTCCCAATTGCTGAGCCCTCCATTGACAGTCGGGAAGATCCTTGATGTCGCAGACAAAATTCATGAACATCTTAAACAACCTCTTCGACTGTTTCAGGGAAACCCAACTATGTTTCCCATTTGAGGATTGTCGTTGAAGGTGAAAGCATTAGCAGAACAGAGGGATCGTAGCTCTGAGCCCAAGATATCGACAAATGATCTCGAACGCCCGAATAAAGGCGATCGCGTTTGGGTGAAGTTGGAAAGGTGCTAACGCCACATGACCAAAGACCTCGAACTGGAAATCACTGAAGGGAAACCGAAGCCCTAATTCCTTGAAGACGAAGTCATACATGGGAAAATTATTCCCCTAGTAGAACGAGCAGATCCTCCCGGTGTCAACGGGTTTGAAAATCTTCCAGGTCTGCACAAATCCCTCTTCGCCCACACCGTGCTCAATGATCCATAATACATCACTTGAGGATGTGACATAGCGAGAGGCTATACCTCGTGGCTCGGGCCCGACCCATGCCAATTCGGGATCAGTCACACCTGAAAAGTAGAGAAGAATAGTGAATTCGACGGTCAAATCAAATCCACCCTTCCACCGCAAATCAAGTGAAAGGGCGTACGAAGGACGAGGACGAACTCCCCGACCAGAGCCCTTACTCAACATCACAAAAAAGGATCGGGGAAAATTTTCCCCGACTCAGGGCTCAATCAACGAAGCCGCGGGGATGACCCATTCGACACTTGAGAATTCAAGGATATCGTGGGCAAAGCCTCCCCGTCGTATGAATTTCACGAAGAATTCATTAATCTCGCGGGGAACACCTCCCCGTCGTATTAATTTTATCAAGAATTCATGAATCACGCGGGGAATGCCTCCCCGTCGTATGAATTTCATCAAGAATTCATTAATCTCATGATGAACGCCTCCCCGTCATATGAATTTCATCAAGAATTCATGAATCTCACGGGGAAAAAGCCTCCCCTTTACATGAAATTCATCATGAAGCTATGAATATCGCGAGGAGAAACCTCCCCGTCACATAAACTTCGCCAGAAATCAAGCATACCTTAAGCTAAAGTTCAACACTCGCCTCCAAACCTAGCATTCAGAGATGGTCAGACCACCGCCAAACACCAACACGTGGTAGAATTGGACCAAACTCAACATATGAATCACAAGGTGAGAAGAACAAACAAAACTCTAAGAAACGACAAGAAAATTAAATGGGATCCGAAAAGAAACTTACTGGATTGAGAAAAGAGATGGAGACTGGTGAAGGCATGGCAGAGACAGCGGCGGAGAAAAGTTCTGAAAATTAAGAAACCATACGGGAAAGCGAGAGCAGAAGTCCGACAGAAAAAGAAAAAGTTACAAATGGTACATGGTCACAGGTACTTATAGCCAACTCTCCATGCACGGGAAAACGTGGCAGTGCACGGGAAGACGTGTCACCAAAACGACGCATCATTACCCCTACGCCTAGGTCGTCATAACCTTATGCCTAGGCCATCATTACACATTAAATTCTACGACACATGGCTCGAGAAATGAATTTGTTGCCTTCTCGAGACGCTCAAGCCCTCTCGTTTCCCCGTTCATCCAACACAAGCCAAAGCTTCTGCTTTCCGTCACACATGCACAACCCTTACGTGTTATCTCACCCACACAATCAAGGCGGTGCCACCACCACGAGCAAACGGGTGCGGCACAAACGAAGTTGATCTTTCTCGACGCTCGGGCTGACCTTAAGTCACTACTCTTTCGCCTAGGAGCAACGATTTGGGGGCTTCTGTTCTAAACTGGGCCAGAGCATGGCTCAACGTTGAGCACGACCCAAATCACCTTTGCGCCCACAACGGCCTAATTGGTGGCCCAATCTCTTGGAGACCGATCTGGACATGTGTTGTCCACGTGCCCTTCTTCCGAGAACACGTCATTGGCTTGCCTCACACTCTTTGGAGCTGTTACACCATGCGTAACTAACGTGGTCAGCCCACTGCCTGAAGATCACAGAGCAAGCTGACCCAGGACGAAGACCACGTGCTAGACTTCCCTACCCATGTAGGATCCTGACAGTCATCCATTTTTGGGCCTGGAAATCCAGTTCACGATGGGGACCTTGGTCTAGTGCTGAGGGCTCTATGAATATCTTCTTTCACTAGAGGGTCAGGTATTCTATTCTATTAACTCTCACTTTCAATACTTGCTCTCTATTACTCTTAACCTTACTTTGGCATCAGAGTATCTTACAGGTACACCCCCTTCATTTACTTAAACAACCACAGAAGCTCAAGTGTTGCAGGCCAGTGAAGATCCTTCTGATCCTGGTAAGACCAGTTAGTATAACATAGATGAGGATATTGAGTTGACTTTGTGGTAAGACTAGACATGATAAAATTATAAATGACAATATTAAAGAGAGTGTTGGGATAACACTTATAGTAGAAAATAGACTTGGATAGTTTGAAGTGTAGGAAAAAAAAACATATAGATTATTTGGCAAGAAAATTAAATCAAACAAAAACTAGTTAACAAACTAGAGATAGAGGAAGATCTAGAAAAACTATAAAGAAAATTATTAAAAATATATCTTAAAATTAACGATTTGAATTGAAACATGATATTAAATAAAACATTATAACGGAAATTGATCTATGTAACCAACTTCACTTAGTTAGATAAAGACTTTGTTGTTATTTGTAGTCAAATTTACAAAATTACACAATTGAAAAAATTCTTTAAAAAAAACACAAGTGAAAACAAACCTGTGATAAACCCCATATAAAGCATTGACTTGGTTCTAACACTAAACACAACCCTAGAAATAATTTGAGCAAATATATAACATTTTAGAGTATTACACACTTATATGTGTTGCACACGCTTTCAATCCAAAACGTACATAGATTGACATTGATTTTTCCTATGCTAGAGAAGTTTAAACCAAAATTAATGAAGAAACTGAAAAATTATATGTAAATAGTAATAGATAACACAAGTTGAAGAATAATATCAATAACAACCAACAAAAGTGCTACTCATATTTTACTAATGATAATCCCAGTCATGAAGTATCTCACCAGAGTCCACAAAAACTGAATAGAAAAACCAAAGAAACTGGTTAGTAGTAATAGGTATTGGAAACCATAAACTCTACTGAAATGACTAACTAAGGCCCAAAATCTTCTATCTATTGTTCAAAACAAAGGTTGAAACTGCAACTGAACAACAATTCAATCTTCTGGTTTAGGCTCCTTTGCCAGTTCATCAAGCCTACTAGTATACTTTAAGGTCAAATTTGAATCTTGTTTTGGCACATTAAAGAAGTCTTCTAGTCCACCAGTTAGTGTACATTTTGAAGTCAAGGAAGCTGCAAGGAGGCTCAGAGCCTGCAAATTGCAAACCACAATCTAAGAAGTCTAGATACAATATATATCTATGAAGCGCAGACACTGACACTGGACACTGACACGGACACTGACACATCGACACTAGTAATAATTTGAAAAAATGAATAAATTGAATGTAATCACAAGTGTCGGTACTTTTTTTCAAAAGTGTCGGTGCTACAAAAAATAACATACGTATAACATAAATCCCAAATGAGTAGTTAAGTAACAATAACTACTTTACCTCAGCTTCACCGATGCTTATCACCTTCATTTCAAGATCATCAAGGGGAAAGCTCAATTCTTTCAAATATGAAAGGCAGGAATTAGAAGAAAATGATTGTATTTTTAGATCATCTCGTACACCATATAATGCTGGTCTCTTCACAAATCCTACCACATTTTGTATCGATTTGTTGGGGGATCTTGGATCCAGTCCAGTCAAGGCTTTTGCATTATAAATTAATCCTCGTGTCTTAGAAATCACTCCTCCCTCTACCTTTACTTCAATTGTATGATAGCAATTATAACGATTATCCCACTCTTGTTTTGGTATCCCTGTACCATAATAATATGTAGCGGTGGATGCTTGTACATTAGGAATGTTGAGGGGCTGGTTTGGATAACCGAACTGTCGTAGGACACCAGGATTGAGTAACACAGAGCGCGACTCTGTACAGCAGGACGAGTCCAAGTTCTCCACACTTTTGTACAAACTATCAACACTTCCAATAAAAGAATTACCATCCAAAAGCTTTACAATGGACCCTAGTGGTATTGTAAGAAAGCTAAAAATGAAGTCAACAAAGTTTTCGCCGGTTTCTGCAAAGATTATCTTTTTCTGAGATTTACTTCGCACTAGCTTAACATCCATTTTAATGTCACTAGTGCAAGTTTTTACTTTGACTGCGGAAGCAAACTGGCTTGGTGAGTTATCTTTCTTCTTGGAGCTACTTTTCAAAATTGTATTTGTTAGAGGCTCATGAGAAGTTAAGACGTACTTGAGGAGGTTCAATATCTGTACATAAAAAGACGGAACATTCTTTAGTCGAGATAACATACAAACAAACAAAACAATAGTTATTTTAAAAAAGCCTGCACGAACAAGTTCCAATTACATGATAGAAATACATGATATTAAACTTTTGAGTCAACATTAAGCTTAGGTGCAAGCTGCTCAACATTAAGAAACTTTATGTGGAAGCATGAATGAAACTTAAGGTACAAGCTGGTAGGTCATTGTGTATGATATGTACCGAGTCTGTACCTTATTTTTGTTGTTCTTACTAACCCAGACTAAAATAACCAACCATTCACAGCATGGTTCTAAGTTCCGGCCGCATTATAAAGGCCTTAGAAGTCTCCCCATGACATTGCAACTACAATATGACACCGACATTGACACTGACACGTCAACACATAATAATTTAAAAACAAACAAAACAATTACCTCTTGCTTTCCAATGTTGTGTGTAACTTCCTCCAATTGACTCAAATTTGAATACCCCAATTCCTTCAACATCTGCATGGAAGTCACCAAGGAACTAGGCACAATCTTCAAATCATCAAAAACCAAAAACAATGACCTATTTTCCTTCACAAAAACCCCATTTAAGGCATCATCAACAACAACACCAGTACTATTCCCCTGACCCTCAGAATCCAAATTCTTAGGCCGTTTATTAGTTGGTTTTCCACAAGTACAATCAAGATTCTGAAAAGTAGTAAACTTGTTACAAGAAGCACACACAAAAAACCTACTTGATACTTCAGTATCATCAATATTCAAGAACAGCTTCGAGCAAAGTGATTCACATGGATTCTTGGGGCTCAGTAGCATTTGTTTGCATACTGGATTCCAAACGTCGTTTGGGGTGAGGGTTTTTACACTTTCGTAGAGGCTTTCGATGCTTCCGAGTAGTGGTGAAGATTCTGATGATGATTGTGGTTGTTGTTGTTGTTGATCATTGTTGTTGGATGATTGTGGGGATTGTGGTTGTTGTTGATCATTGTTGTTGGATGATTGTGGGGATTGTGGTTGTTGTTGATCGTTGTTGTTGGTTGATAAGAGACGAATGATGGTGGCGAGTGGAAGAGAGAGGAAACTGAAGAGAGTGTCGATGAAGTGTTTGGGTGCTTCGACAGCAACAACTTTGTTGTTTTGTTTGTCTATTAGGACTTTGAGAGGAATGGTTTTGGGGTCTTGTGGTTGCGGTTGATCGGAAGCCATTGTAGGTTGTTTTTTTTGGCTCTTCTTTCAAACTTAGAAATTTTACAAAGGACGAGGGACAAAAGTATGTGAAATAGGTATATATTTAAGGTTTGTGAGAATTTTTGGAGAATTTAACCTCACACCCCTTCACCACTCTTGTGATATACATGACATCTCTATATAATATGTATATATTTAAGGTTTGTGAGAATTTTTGGAGAATTTAACCTCATACCCCTTCACCACTCTTGTGATATACATGACATCTCTATATAATATGTATATATTTAAGGTTTGTGAGAATTTTTGGAGAATTTAACCTCACACCCCTTCACCACTCTTGTGATATACATGACATCTCTATATAATATGTATATATTTAAGGTTTGTGAGAATTTTTGGAGAATTTAACCTCACACCCCTTCACCACTCTTGTGATATACATGACATCTCTATATAATATGTATATATTTAAGGTTTGTGAGAATTTTTGGAGAATTTAACCTCACACCCCTTCACCACTCTTGTGATATACATGACATCTCTATATAATATGTATATATTTAAGGTTTGTGAGAATTTTTGGAGAATTTAACCTCACACCCCTTCACCACTCTTGTGATATATATGACATCTCTATATAATATGTATTTTTACCGTTGTACCTTTGTTTAAAGTTGTCTATTTTTTTATAAAGTATGAGTACATATCAAAAAATTTAAAATTATATCGAAAATTTTGTGAAAAAGTACAAAAATAACGATAATTTCATACAGAATAGTGACATTTTTTGTTTGCTATGAAGAAATATCGTCTTTCTGAAATTTCCGATATAGACATGTATCGTCATATTGGAAATTTTAAAATATCTGATATATACCAAAAAGTTTTAGAAATTTTAAAAAATCCGATAGACATTGAGGCTTTGAATTTTTTTTTCTTTAATTTTATGAAATAAATAACCTGATAAAATAATTACTCGATAAAATATATACATAAAATGGAAAATGTGCTATATATATATTCTGGACTGGGTCGGCACCTGCCCTACCGTTGGGAAGGTCCAATCCAGCATCTTACAAAGGCCCAAAAGCATGCAGTCCAAGCTGAGGAGCGTTGGACATTTTCCCACGTGTCCACTAGAAGAACATGACTCATGTTTCCATATCGTCATTATCCTGCGCTCCGAGAATAACAGGTCCAACTTTCCTACTTTCTTGGGACAATTGACCAGGGAGGAGGCCACGTGCTGGACTCCATACACCCTTAAACCCTGACAGTCTTCATTATTGGGCCTCATCGTGACCCAACACTAAAGACTTTGGCCCAACGCTGGGGGCTATAAAAACCCTCTCACTTGAGAGAGTCAAGTATCCATTCACTCATCCATACTCTCACTTTGCTTGTACTTGCTCTGAACCTTACATTGGCATCAGAGTATCTTACAGGTACCCCCTCACCCCATATCACATTCAACCGCTGCTCAACTTGAAGCTCGTTGTTTACCGTTGAAATTGGTAAACAACCGCTGATCTTCCAAAAGGTTACTTATTTGGTGACTCGCAGGATCGATCAGATTGATCCTAAGACATGGTTGATTTTCTGGAGTTTGACTAGTCCTAATGGTGATTAATGCCGGTAAAGCAAAGACACTTTAAGTAAATTGCATGAAGAAAAGCTTGATAGAATAAATAAAAGCGTTAAATAAAAGGCTTCGACGGAGATGAGTAAATGAAAAGCAATAAAGTGCTTGAATATAAAAGACTTTGATTAATTTAAATGGTGTTTCACACATACATTCTCAACGATTCTTTCGCTCACACTGGGTACTTGAATCTAGATGAGTAACTTGTATAAAATGATGAACACTCCCGAAAACTACGTGAACAACTAGTATTTATACTAAAACAAATCCTAAGTAACCGTTGGGCAGTTACGTCGCTTCGAGATGACGCCACATGGCACGCTTACAGCATTCGACGCTCCTGATCTCGGCACGTTGCACTTGGTAACTACTGGGAACCGTTTTCCCTCCAAGCATTCAAATCTCAAACCGTTCGACCCTGGGCATCAGGTACCTTTGTCGAGAGGTTCCTTCGACGTCGAAGACGACAAGATTCCCACTTGAAGGAAATTCTCTAAGTACCTTGTCATTCTCTGATGAGCCTTCGACAGGATCAGCTGGTCGAAGCCTGGAAACTCTTCTGACTCATAATTAATGGTCTATATTGATAACAAACAAGGGTGTCGAATTTAGGAGCCAACAAATTGCCCCCCAAGAATGTCTTATTTCGACGCTGAAAAGAAAAAGGCATTCTTTGAGATTCCACTCGACACCTGTCCTTCACTCTTAGCCACAGATTAGTTTGTGCGCTTTTCGCCTCCTACCAACCAACTGACAATCTCAAAAAGCCATCATTCCACCTGTTCCTAAGACGTCACTTCAGTAAGGCGTTTGGCATGCCCAATGTCTTTTCACAGATTGTCATCATGACGATTCCTCGAAATCGAGGACGCACGCTGCACCGCTTCCGTTCTGCAGAACGGCTACATCACCAAATGAGCGCCACGTGCCCCACTCTTGTCTGAGACATTAAATGACCTCGAGTCTTGTGATTTTCCAATCACTATAAATAGCACTAAGTGCCCCTCGTGGGACTCTTTACGCTTTCCTTCATCCAAGCCTTAAGTCGAACAAAAATTTCTGCAAGAACTTTGTTCTTCATCCATCTTCATCTCAAACCAAAAAATGGCTTCAGGTTCTCGTTCTTCCAATGTCCCCAGTTCTAACACTCCCTCTAAAACTGCTCAACCGACAATCTTTTCAACCGCTCCAACAGTTAACTCCAAGGGAATGCGAAGGGTTCCCGAACCCATGGGAGATGCTGAGCGTGAGACTTACTCTTCTCAACTGTTGATTCCTGTTGGATATTCCAACCAGGTTTTCGCCATGTCTGGTCCTCTATCTGCATGCATCGCTGACCCAACGAAGATCAAGGGTTTCTTCCCCGTGCATGAGGCACTCAAGCCCATTGGGTGCTCCAAAAAGGCGACAGACGATAACGAAGATCCTGCAAAAGAAAAGATAGATCTTCGTTTCTTCAACAGAGGGATTAGGGCTTTTAGGTCTAGCCCTAGCCTTACACCAGAATACAACGCTTGGCTCGACAAGATGGAGAAAAGCCAGGCTTCGATTTGGAAGAACATGGGGATTTATGACCTAGTCATGCTATCAAAGACTGGTCTCAACTATTCTCCTGAAATGCTGGTAGCTTCTTTGCTATTTTGGGACTATACTCACTTCACCTTCCACCTGCCTTGTGGAATGGTAACACCCACTCTCTTCGACGTGGCTGCCATTACTGGTCTTCGACCAACTGGGGATTACTTTGACCCAGAGGAAATTTCTGAAGACCAGATTGGGTTTTCAGCCACCAAACCTACTTACACCACCTACACCAACCACTATCATGACAAATCGACGGCTGTGGTGACGGACGTGGAGCACATTGCGTTTCTAGCCCTTTGGCTGTCACGCTTCGTGTTCTGCACGAAATCTCTACAGGTGACGAAGAAAATGGTCACCCTTGCTACTCAGCTTCATCACGGTCAAAACATCTGTTTGGACGAATTAATACTGGCGAACCTATATGAGTCGATAAGCAGTGGGGCGACTCTATTAAAGGTAATAGAAAATAGAGCCAGCTTGCTGCTCGCTGGACCCTTCTGGCTACTACAACTATGGCTAAACGCCACTTTTGAGTCTTTTCTACCCCAAAAGGCTCAAATAAACGAACAGGCTCCTGAGATATCCAGAAGGCGTATCGAAGGTACCAGGCTGGCTTTACTGACTCCCACTGAAGATGGGCTGGAACTCCAACAGACCTTTGCAAACTTCATTTTGATGTTTGCAGGGAGGAAGGAATTTACCTCGACCATGGCTCCTTTCGCCCGTCGAAAGTTTGGTCCAGGGTGGTTCACCAGGCCCATCCCAAGTCATCAGAGGATCCTCACCTCGAAGAGCACACAACACTGTGGGAAGCATTTCTCACTCCCAGGATAATGCCATTGCGCTTCAAGAGTTCAAAGAATCATCTGAGCCTGATTGCTTATCAGCCAAATCTTGTCTCTCGACAGTTTGGCATTATCCAATCGCTTCCTTCTCCCATTTACCCTAGGGAGAAATCAGTGTTGTACTTTTGTAATGATTACACTGAGGATGCTGCTACCAAGCACATTGGTAGGTACGCTGGTCGGACTGTACTTTCATTGTTCGACTACCAACTCAACTTCCTCTGTTCACCATCTTTTGAAGACTGGTGGAAGAGTTATTATGTCGAAGACTGAAGGGGTGAAAAACACAAGAAGGGGGGTTGAATTGTAAAACTGAAATCTAAAGCAATTGACAAGATATTTTTATCCTGGTTCGTTTGATCTCAAACTACTCCAGTCCACCCGTCAAGGTGATTTCGCCTCTCTCCAACGAGGTCTTAATTCACTATATTCAACTGAATATTACAGACTGCTTTAACAACTGCTAAAGCCTTCTTGATTCAAACCACAACCCGGTTTGTCAAGGCAACACTTTCTTACAAAGGTATAAAACAATGTGTGTGAATGTTTTCTACAAAACTTTATCACAACTGTGATGTATACACAAATTAAGCTTAGAAACTAGATTGCTAAACAGAATGAATATCAGAGTTTGGTTTAGCAAAACTGGTAGAATGAAGATAATGGTTCAGCTTTGTGCGTGTAGAGATTTGGAGAGCATTAGCCATTATAATCTTCGAAGCCTTGTTTATATAGCACTTGAGAAGATGAACGTTGAATGCAATATTCTTGATTCAATGCTAATAACAAGCTTTCCTTTTTGAGCAGATCTTGTCTAGAATGAAGCCGTTGGAATTAATTAGCTTTCAATGCACAGTACCGTTGCTTCTTCAATGCACGTTCTGGCTTGGCTCATTCTGATTCTGCTTCGCTGCTGATGAACTATTGTGTTTCTGTATCAGAGT